GATTTCAAAATATATACGCAAATCATCTCCCTGTTGATAAGGAGGAAAATATTACTTATCTAATTTTTTTTTTATGTTTAATTGGTAAAAGTTTTCAGTTCTATTTTGTTTACAAATAATGATGATATCTTTAATCGAAGTAGAAAAATAATATCACAAATAACATTTTTATTGATGGTTATAGGCATAAACCACATATAACAATGCCCTCATAAAAAGCATACAAGGGCATTTGGTACCGTTAGAATAAGTCAACACACCCACCCACGTGATCAGAGTTCAGTCCTAGCTAGAACTTCATTTTATTGTTTTTTATTATAAGTTTTGAATTTTAGAGGGACTTATGTATAACATTAAAATGGTTAGACAAGAGATTCGAACTCATGAATCATTCAATAGAACGAACTCACCTCGATCATTGACCTATCATACTCAAGAAACTTAAAGTCTACATATTACCTTAAAGCCTTAAACTCATAGTATATAACAAAGTAAAGCTCAAGTATTAGTTTAGAGCTCATATTTGATCTATATATTTGTATTTAATATTTTCAATATTGTTCAAACCATTAATGACCAACCAAATACATCCATTAGTTGTCAATGGAAGTTTCGCTAATGTCTAAATTAAGATAACATTGTGCACCCAGAGTCTTCAAATCCTGAGTTCGCCTTTGGCGAAAACGATTAATTATTTTGTTATTACTATTAAAGGATGTAGTGTAATGGATGTGACTGCTTCTTTCTTAATCAGAGATCTCAAGTTCAAACTTTGAGTTTTGAATTTTTTTTTATTGAAAGTGCTATACCCGAATGGCCCCTATAAGGCACCAATTCAAATTAATTGAACTCTAATATAAATGTCAAACATTGAATGAAAAAATAAAAAAACAATCATACTATTATCGGCACAACAATTACGAATTTGTATATTGCTTGTAGACTATCTAAAGAAGAAAATATTGTTTTGGAGTAATCTCCAGAATGAATGGCCATGCTTGATACACAAGTTTATTTTTATTATTTTATTTTGTGTTGACTGGTTTATTGAAAATACTAAACTAACTTTTTAAGCCTTAAAAAGAAGATATGCATCTTTTCTATTCTATACAAATACAAAGTTGGTACAATAATTTACTTTTGAATATGTAGATGACGTGACAAAACATGGTTGAATTCTTCTTTGACTATATAATCTATGATAAACGCTTATGATGTAATCAATGATCGTTGATCAAATTATTATTTTTAATTTGTGTTGGCTAAAGCAGTATTGATTCATTTATTAACATTGTCAATAGTTGAGTCACCCCATACGCCTAAATTATACCTCTAATAAAAAAGTATAACGTGATCATTATCAAATATAAAATTCAATCAGGTTGGGATCGAATCTCATATATAATAAAGTGACAATTAAATCGTAAACAATTATTTACGGTTAGTTATTTATTTCCAAAGGAAAAGGGAAAGTTTGGGGGATTTCAGTGATGTATAGTATCAATTTCTAATTGGTAAGTTTCAACGATACTAGCCTAAACTGAGAATTTAGGGGTCGTTTGGTTGGAAACAAGTTATCCCAGAATAAGTTATCCTGGGGTTAGCTATCCTGGGATAACTTATCCCACAATGTATAAGGAATAACTTATCCCATCACTATGATATAAATGGTGGGATAAGTTATCCCAAACATGGCAACCAAACAACATAAAAAAAAATTCCCCATTATTTTTAATTCCTCACACCAAACAAGCCCTTATAGAGATATAAATCAAGATTGTGTTCACCAAAACTTTAACTTATTTTGGGTTATTACGGAATTCAACCTTGTAATGCTAGTATGCTAGTTTATCAAACTCTTACTACACATAATCGTTTCTCAACCAAATCAAATGCATGCCACTTTTATTCTTAGGAACTAAAAGTGTTAACATCAAACCAAATGATGTTTTACTCTGAGTTGGTTAATCTTGTTACAACATTAACCATTAGGCGAGTTTAAACCTTGAATCCTTGTTATTAGTTCTTTTTCTAAGTTTTACTCCTTTTTACTCAAACAAGTCAATCCTAGGGCGGGTTATAATGTTTGCAACTATAAGAAGTCGATTAATCCAAAAGAACTAATAAGGTATACATCCGTAAAATAGATTTTAATTTGTAAATATCTTTTTTAGGTCAAGTCGTTATGGATTTCACAATCTTTGATAGTGGGATTTAGCTACTCATAATAATTGAAGTAAAGTATGCACTTACATTCATCAAATAAGAATTTACTTCCAAAAGTTAAAACAATCACACAAGCTTTGATTTCAAAAATCAAGAAAACTTGCAATAACAACTCATTCAAGCGTATGCTCTTCTTCGCTAAAACCAAGTTAATAATATAAACCCTAAAAAAATTCTATATATAGTCTCAAAAAATTAGAAATTTAAAATAAGAAAGTTGGCCCTACTAAGTCCACCTAATGCTTTGCCTGATGGCGCGTCACAAGTGTGATGGGTTGTCGCTCATGTCTTCATGCCTTAACAATAGTGTATTTGGAATACCCTTTGTGACGGTCTCTCTAACGGTCCATCACAGATATGACTGTCCGTCAGATGGACCGTCATATGTTTCCTTTTAAAAAACTTATAGTTCACTCTGATGCTGGGCCTGGCCGCCCATCGGACCTGTGACGGTCTGTCAAGCTCCCATTAGTGGTGTATTTAGTTTGTACTTAGCTGCGGTTTGCTTCATTTTCTGATTTGAGTGATTTCCTGTCTAACACAGTAGAAAATACATTAAACGACATAACAATACTTAAAAATTAGCATTTATGCAACGATTAAAAACATCAAATATGTTATCTAATGCCGACATAACCACTCCTTTTAAAGTTAATATTTCTTATAAAGTTTGGATGGTCTACGTTATTATTCTCCCGACCATAATTTTATGAATAGAGTGAAACGAATATATCGAATCATTTAAGTTAATAGCTAATATATTTGAGTACGATTTGAATGAATCCTTTTGCACAACATACTTAAGAATTTATTTGTGTTGCAGAAATCTCACTAGTTTAAATGCTGATTAATTAGATAAATATTAGCTTGCAATATTATAAATCTTATCAGATTTGGGTGCATCCAGATACAGTGAAATACATGCATGTATCTCGAGATACATAAAGTCAAAATTAGGTGTAATTGGCAAGGTGACTTATGAACTTGAATTGCCTAATGAATTGGTATTGGTACATCTAGTTTTCCATGTCTCATTATTGAAGAAATGTGTTGGAGATCCGACATCTATAGTCCCCGCTGGCAAGGTTGCTTATGAACTTGATTTGCCTAGTGACTTGGCGTCGATGCATTCGGTTTTCCATGTCTCCTTGTTGAAGAAATGTTTTGGAGATCCGACATCCATAGTTCCCTTAGATGGTTTTGGAATTGATGAGAATCTTTCTTATGAGGAAGTTCCAATTGAGATTTTAGACCGGCAAGTCAAGAAGTTGAGAAATAAAGAAGTTGCTTCAGTAAAGGTTCTTTGCATGAATCAGTTAGTTGAGGGTGCTACTTAAGAGGCCGAGGCCGATAAGATGTCCTGATACTTTCATCTCTTTTCCTCCATCCCTACTCAAACTTGAGGTATTTAGCTCCTCATGGTTTACTCATTGAGTGCCATATGTCTTAGATATTCCTATGATTTCCTCATTTATGCATGATTCATGAAAATCTTAAATTTTGAGAAAAAAGTTTAATTTATTGATTCCTACATGTTCATGTGAATTTGAGTATGAGTTGCATATAGACTTCATGATATGACGTTTTGAACATGTTTTAACTTGGAGTTGATGTTTCCTCCTTAGGTATGTGCATTTATGTAATTGCATGTATATATGTTGGGCTGTTAGATTAAGTTCCTACCTTCTTTATGATGTCTTGAATCTCATTCGAGGACGAATCTTCCCAAGGGGGAGATAATGTAACACCTCAAATTCAAAAATTGTAGAATTGCAACTTTCTTCAGGATCTGATGCCAGTTCCGACGAAGACACCTATGGACCGTGGACTGATACACATAACATAGGTCAACTCCGTGGTTGGCTAGCCTAGGTTCCCAAAAATGATAAGTTTCAGTACTTTTTCAATGGTTCACCAGGACAGTCTGTCATTCAATGTACGAGCCGTAGTTAGGTATCGTAGGTGAGTCCTAGACTTAGAGAGATTTTGAGGCCAAGAGTTAGGACCTACAACCGTGGTCCACGGTTCGTCGATGGACCCACATGCCGTAGGTATGGTTCATCGTCGGGGGTCCACAAATGGTGGTATCTAACCCCAAACGATGCTCAACCAGAACGGTCCATGGTCTGACCAACAGAACATCGGTCTGGCCGTCGATAGGTGTCGGCAGTTATTTTCTTAAGGGCTTTTGGGCCTTTGCCTAATTATTCTAGCTGAATACTATGTCGTTTTACCCTTCACTTTGTAACACCTTAGAAATTTTTTGAACTAAGACTTGAACCATCCTTCGTTGTGAGTGGGATTTTACTGAGGAATTTAAAATTTCTTGAGTGTTAAGGTCACTAGATGTAGCACCTTGAGTTCCAAGAAGAACTAAAGAGAATTCATTCAAGTCATTCCTAAGTTTTTCTAAGTTTTGGGTCAAATTCAAACGACCATAACTCTCAGTACAGGATGATTTAAGTGTGCCATAAGATGTAAAATGAAAGGTCTTTGAATTATATTTCCAACGCCACCAAGTTTGCTAAGTTTCGAGTTCGAATGAGTGAGATATCCCCTTTTGAAGTTAAGCTGTACAATTAAAGAAAGTTACCCGAAAATAGTGAGGGGTATTTTGGTCTTTTCCTTACCAAATCAGAATTTTTTTTTTCAAATTTTTCTGGCCTGATGGCCATTTTATTAATAATAATTTTGAAAACATCAGTCTGGCCAAAGGGCCCAATAATAAAAACCATTCTGCCCAAGTCCATCCATACCAAATCCTTCTTCCTTAATTAGGAAAGTGAACCTAACATCTTCCACCTCTTGCGATCTTTCCATTTTCATATTTGTCTCCCAGGTTCTCCCTTTCGAATGTCGCGTGTGCTTTACTCGTCTTCGCCTTTTGCTCTGGGTATGTATCCATCTTGTATCTCTCTATTTATGTGCTTCCTTGCTCTTATTGAAGCATGCCTTACTGATGGGTAGTTCTTCTTCCTTCATTACTGATTGACTCTTCTCTTGATCCTGATTAGGATGTAAATTGATGTTCCTCGTATCGTGGAGTGCGTAGTGGTCGCCATCTAGACGCAGCTCAGTTCCAGGTTCTTACATGTCCTCTGCTCTTTTTTCCTTTTCTTTATTATGTTCTGACTCCCCCTTCTTTTGTGTCAGCTGATATTGTGCTGAATATTCATATCTCTTTGGATTTTGTGTTGACCTCCATGTTTGATTGTTATCGATGATGTTGTACCCCTTTTCTTTTGGCGAAAACGTTTTTGTGCTGATATAGATTAGCAAAAAAGTTAATTTGATAGCTGTAAGGATCCCTTTCTGAGGGTTTTCTTTTTCGTAAATAGCTTTTTTGCTCTCCCTCCCTGTTTGTCTATATGTCTGATCTTGGAACTTCATGGTGTCTAATCTTCTTATACCTTATTCTGATGGATGGAGTTTGTGTTTTGTCCATATTTACGATGCGTTTGCCAGTTGTTGGTAGATCTATAAAGCTATTGAACTCTTGTTTCTCTATGTGATTAATAGCTAGGTTAGCTAAATAATCTGCTATTTGATTGCCTTCCCTGAAGATATGTTTGATTTTAACCTTCTGTGTCCGCACCTCCTTCATTATATCTTCCACTATTTCTGCGATTTCCCAAGGTATCCTCTAATCCCTTTGTATGATGTTCTTTAGAGTAAGGGAATCCATCTCAATTATGAGATTTAATTCATTTTTAGTAAGGTTTTAAGGGTCTAATCCTATTAGGTTTAGCTTTATAATCCTAATATACGCCTAGGGTTTTAGTTGAGAGTTCAAGAAGAGAAAAGAGGACAAAAGAGGAGAGGATCAAAGCGTTCGTCTAGATTCTTGAGTTTTATTGCGGATTTTCGCCATGGGTTTAATCCCTAAGAGGTATGTAAGCTTCCATAGTGTTGGTTTTGTTCACCCACACACCAATCATATTAATTTCAACGTTAAATTCGTTCTAGAAAGTTGAAGGTTTGATGTTCTTGAATTGTGTTCTTGAAATTGACTTCCGTTCTTGAGTTAAGATAAGATTAATGAGTTCTTGAGGAAATCGTATCAATTTTAGAGTTGTGTTTGATTAGATTCTTGTGTACATGTATTGGGTATCTGAATATAAAGAGAAATTGAGAAAAATAATCGAATTTAGGCGAATTGGGGTTAGAAAATGAAAAAGGAAAAAGTCAGGCAAAAACTCGGTACAAGGTCCGCGACGCAGACCTGTTCCTCAGAAACATAACTTTTCTCTTTGCGTCGCGGAGAGGTCACGGAACCCCTCTGCCTCAAAATTTATTTCACGACCAAATATTAAAATGCATCTCCGCGTCGCGGACTTGCTTTCAGATAGTGATTTCTTGATTGTTTCTCATGTTTAACTATCTAAAAACACTCCTAAACATCACACGATCTTTCCTATCACAAATCACAACGTTGAATTCATAAATCAAATTCAAGGTAGAGTTGAGAGTCAAGTCTTGAGAGCTCATTCGAACATTTTTGAGAAAGTCCCTTTGAGTCTTTTTGAGAAGTCTTCTACAATTTCTAGTAATTTGTTTCAAAACTCGAGCAAGTGAGTATGAGAGTGAGGAGAATGTATTCCTGAGTCTACCTTATCATTACGATATCCTTCATATCATTAATCATAACTCTTGATTCCATAATCCAAATTTAAGAGAGAGTTAAGAGTAGAGTTCAAGAAAGTCTTTGAGTTCAATTGTGAATCATTTGAGTTCAACTATTGATTCGAGCTAAGTTTTGAGGAAGTAAATATGAGAACAAGAAGAGTCATATACACGGGTTCCATATCATTATGTAGACCATTGAGTCGAGTCGTTCATGCCCATAAATTCCTCATGAACTCCATAAGTTGAGTATCTTTGAAAGAAGTAGTATCTTCAAGTTCTAAGTCTTGAGTATTGAGTTCATAATCCTTTTGAGATTTTATTCCTCATCATGGGACCATTACATGTTACTAATAAAGTCCTTGAGTTGAGTAGTTCATGCCCATAACTCCGCATGAACTCTATAAGTCGAGCAGTCTTGAGATGAGAAGTATTTTTAAGTCCTTGAGTTGAGTAGTTCATGCTCATAATTCCGCATGAACCCTCTGAGTTGAGCATTCTTGAAATAAGTAGTATCATTGAAGTTATTGAGTTCTACCTATGGTTATTGAAAACCTTGAATTGATTCGTTCACGTCCATAATTTGGCATGAAACCTATTTTAAGAAGTCTTATATAAATGTTTTAAACTTGTTTTGACTTGAGTTTTGAGTTGAATAAAGAGTAAATAGTGAAATTCTTTTCTTCAAAAGAGTATATGGGGACTATGTATTCCCAAAGAGTAAATGTTTTTACATTTAAACAAGAAAGGAAACATTGATTTCCAACAGAGCCTTTGAGCTAGTTTTTCAGTAAAGAGTAAATGCTTTCATATTTAAGCAAGAGAGGAAACACTGATTTCCTAGAGCCTTTGGGCTAATTTTTGAGTAATTATGTCAAACCACAGAAAGAGTTGTGTTTTTAAAACATATGAGCTAGTTATATTTTGGGAGCAGTATTGAGCACCGATATGGGGGAGAGTTCAGATAACTCACAGCCCCCATAAACCATGTAGCCAACGTGGGTAGAAAATGGTCATACTTTTTAGATGATTCCTTAGTGCTTTTTAGCATAGAATAGTGGATCCACTTAGTACTTAGGTTCTATACCACTGGCAAGGTATAGGACGACCTTGGCAGCGTGAGGCAAAACGTTGTATCATCAAATAGGTCATAAGTGATGGTTGTCGGTTAGAGAAACTCCCACAGAGACATTTTGTATTCTTATATACATAGAGTTTATTTTGTATTTTCATATACAAACAGAGTTTATATTGTATCCTTGCATACAAACTGAGTATATTGTATTCTTAAATACATTGAGCCCTATTTTCTCTGAGTTGAGTTGAACTATGTTTCTTGAGTTGAGTTTAGTTGAGTGAGTTGAGAAGAGGTAAGTATGTTTCTTTTTTATCAAGTTCAAGCTTATGTTATGCTTTAGAATTCCCCTTACATGCTCGTACATTCCATGTACTGAGCCATTTGGCCTGCATTGTTTCATGATGCAGTTACATGTAATCAGGATCATCAATAGGAGCTTCGTTGCTACCATATACAGTTCGAGTTAACTATGGTGAGCCTCCTTGCTTTCGGAGGGTTCCACTTGTACTTTCAGTTATATCAGCTGCTAGAATGTCGTGGGTCTTGTCCCGACTTCCATCTTTGTCAGTTAGAGGCTTCATAGATAGACAGTAGAGTTTCAGAAATTTGTTCATTTATTTTGTTAAATATTTTAAAGACTTAAGTTGCCTATTTATGGTGAGTTCAATATATGATTTTTATTCAAAGTTATTCATTTGATTTAAAGACTTGTAATTGAGTTAAATGAATTTTATTCAGTTTTTAAGCTTTGTATGTTTAAGTTAGTCTTCCGCTTGTAGTCAGCCAGGATGAGGGTTCGCTTGGGACCAACAATGGTTCTCGAGTGCCGACCATGTCCAGGGTGTAGGCTATGGTTGTGACACACCTAAATCCCTATATAAGTGTTTTTAACCCCAAACTTCCCCAATTGAAAACCATTCTCTCAAATTTTTAAAAGAAGAACAAGTCTTCTTCTTCAAAATATTTCTCTATCTAGGAAGCTTGAAGAAGGAGTCAACCTAGGGTTTCAAGTTAAGCCTCCAATTCTACCATTGAAGGCAAGCTCTTGGTATTGAGGTATGATAGTTTTCATCCATGGAACCCTCTCCACCATGGAGCTCCTAAATCCTCCAATTTACAAAGTTAGAATCCCTAATTGAGTTAGAGTTTTCTTCCATATCATGAGTTCCTTTTAATGTTGATTTATTTAATTGATTTATGAACTTTTATGCATGAATTGATATAATCTCATGATTTTGAGATGAATCCCCATGAACCCATGCTTAATACATGTATTTAGATATTAATGATTGAAAGTAGGTTTTGAACTATGAAGGGTGAATTATGGAAATATGCATGTTCTTATGAAATTGATGAGATATGATGTAAATAGCCTTGAGAATAAAAGCATATATGTTGTTGTTGTGGTTAATTGTTGTGAAAAGATTGCTCACATAACTACCCCATGCACGAATGTGTAAGGTTTTCTCACATAAAGAATTCTAAGGTTGAAAGGTTTTCTCACCTAAAATGAATCAAAGTTAAGGAGCTATTCTAATGAAACCTAGCTTGGATTGGTTAATTTATTGTACCTTTCCATGGATGGCATATGACTTAGCTTGGATTGACAATATGACGTGCCCTTCCATGGATAATAAAGATAAGTTAAGGGAATGACTATTCCATGGGATTTACGCTTAGCACTGAGAGGATATTGAGATGGAAGTTCTCTCGTTAGTAGAGGTTGGGCTTCTAGTAGCAATCTCCTTATCCCATACCTAAGTTCCCCCATAGGATGATTGTCTTAGATAGACATTAGCTAGCGGATCCACATAAGCTAGAAGTTCAGGGTCTTACCTTGGCAAGTAGGATACCCCTTTTCGGTGTGGGGTAGACATTGGATTCCGTGTTAATAGCTCACATGGTCTTATATGTCGGTTAAAGGTAAATCTCTCACAATAATGAACTAAGTTTACTTCAAGAAGTAACTCACATGTAATTTAAGATGATGTCTATTTTGATTGACCGTGTTTTATGACTTATGTCTTCTACCCTTTTTATATCATGTTTTAGCTTGCTCATTGGATACCATGACATATATCCCCATTTTAAGCATGTTTTCAAATGTTTTATGCATTGCTATCATACTTGGTACGTGTTTGTACTAACGCATACTCTTGCCTACATTTCCCCAGATGTAGGGTCCGACCTTACAAATTCGCACTTCCGTGGCTAGGGATCTCATATATATAGAAGCTTGACTATTGGTGAGTCCTCATGTTCTGAGGACCGAGCTTGATTTCCCTTTTGTCTTTACTTTCAGTTCTTGGAACTTGATGTACGGGATACGTCCCGATCAATCTTATGTACTAGATGGCTTTGAGACGATGTTTAGACTTTCGCTTTTCTCTATAAAACTTTTATATGTCGAAACTATCTTTTACATCTCTTATATTCTATTATCTTGTATGATGAATGTTAAGTGGCTTGTATGGGGCCTCTCGGGGTCTTATACGTCATGTCACACCTAGGGGTTACCTTGGGTCGAGACAAGTATATGAACTATATCTTTGTTGGGTGTAAGATAAATGGGCGATTATATATATGATTTCACAGATAGAATATATTCTTTAATTTTAATTTTTCCAGTAAAAAAAAAGGAAACCTTTCTTAGTTAACTATGGACAGTCAGATAACTATCTTTGATTTATGTATACAGTCAATCGAGAAGTCAACAACAAGAACGTCATCTATTATGTTATAACTTATAAAATAAAACTAATATACAAAAAATAGTTCTAAAAAATAAAATGTAGTTGTTCTCTTAACATGTTCATATGACATCTAAACAATTTAATGTGAAATACACGTGCAAAGCACATCTGGTTAGGTGAAAAGAAAAATACACAACAAATATCGTTTATAAGGTAATATAAGTGAGATAATACGACTAATTACATGATTAAACCTCATCAAATTGAAATAAATACATACATCATTGCATTTAACTAATAAAATATTTCATTGACCATCTTCGTAGATTCGCGTGAATAAGAGATATATATGACGATCCACATTGAACATTCACAAAAGATATTGCAATATTATTTTGTACAAAACTTATTATTCAAATCTTCGCTTAAATAAGAAATACTATTTGCTATAATATTATTTTTTGAATTGGTAATCATGTGCAATGCACGTGTCGAAAAACTAGTATATATATCGATTTTTGATTTTATTTTAAAACTTGAGTATATAGATAATTATCACTTTGATTAAAAAACTTGTCTGGAGTTAAATTTATTTTTAAAAATGGTAAAAACTTAAAAAAATAGTTCTCATTTAAATTTTAGCAATTTAATTTTATTGAGAAATACAATTTTTTGTGAGGTTGATACGTGACAGTTTTTGTCCATCCTATTATATATAGATAGAAGATTACACAATTTTTTTTATATTATCAAATATAAAAAAGTATTTTTATGTTTCATTTCACTTTTGGAAAAGGGTCTGAAAAATACTCCAATTTTGGCCGAAATTGTTGTTACGATACCAAACTTTATGAAGGACCTTTTACCCCCTGCACTATTTAATAGTGTATTTTCAAGGTATATATGTGCCCATGTGGACACATTACTATTTATAATTATGCAATATTTATGATGTCCACGTGAGCACATATATATATATATATACCTTTAAAATACACTCTTAAATAGTGTAGAGGGTAAAATGTCCTTTCCAAAGTTCGATATTGTTACAACAATTTCGATCAAAATTCAGATATATTTCAGACTTTTTTCCCTTTCAAATTTAAAATGCACTACAGTAAAGCTAAACTAACAATCTATATTATACTATTTATGTTTGCATCGTTATTGCTATAAATAAAAGGAGGAATAGTTGTGGAATTAATTTTAAAAATGAAGACTTATCATTTGTAACAATTTATATTTTTCTAAAAAATATTTTAGTTAGCAATAACAATAATAAATTTTTAAAACGAACATTAAACATTCCACAAAAAGAAAAAGCAGGACTAACCTTTTGCTGCTCCATTGACAAATCATCCATGCATTGAAAGATCTTTAAATTGAAATAAGAAAATTAACTAACCACATTCAAAAAATTAACTAACCACATTCACAAATCATGTATTTTTAATGAAATTTAACCATAGTAACTTATTTTAATAAAATAACAATAATTATAAAAAGAAGAAAAAAAGAATATCAACAGTTGAGTCCTACTTGGATTCTAGTCATATTTATTTCCATAACTACATTATTTTCTTTCCAAACTTAAATACAATATTGAGCTTTACCGTAGATTTTCCCAGGATCATGCTTGTGTAGTTTTTCAAAGCATCAAAACTTGTGAATTTACTAAGAAATATTTTTAAAGTATCAGGTGATTTTGAAACTTGACAAGCTTCTTCTGCTTAGTGCACTACAACAAATATGATATTTAGCTACGAAATTACTAGCTACAACATGAATTTCGTCACTAATTGTTCATCTTTAATGACGAAAATCATATTACGTTGCTAAAGATCTATGGCCAATACTTTAAGTGATGAAACATAAAATTTCGAAGCAAAATTTTGTCTACTAAAATTTCCCACCAAAAAATAAGTTGGCGCCATTTATTGAGTACTATTAGCTACAAATATAAAGCTATCAATGACAGATTATTTTGTCACTAAATGATGTACCCAATTTATGACAAATCATCTTTTGTCCTAAAATAATCTATATTTGGGCACGAAAATGCTCACTAAAACTATGATGATTCAATGGCGACGAATTACAATTTTTACTTAATTATTGTAAAATTTAACTACAAATTTTACATTTAATTGTGACTTTATTTTTTGTCACTAATAATTTAAATAATTAGCGATGATAATATTATTGTCTCTATTTTAACATATAATTTTGCGACAAATAATTTTTGTCACATAGATACCAAATTTTATTCTCATTTTATTATTTATCTATTTGAACGTAATTTACATTTTTTAAAATTTATCTATATAGATGGAGTATAATTGACATACTATTTTTACTTGATTATGTCAAACAAATTAAATAATTTTAGTAGGAGTAGTTAATGGAAACCCATTAAGTGACGGAAATCATAGTTGTGAGAATTTATATTTTAAAACTAAAATATTATAGTAAAAGTAAAAAAATAAAATTTAACTTTTAAGTATTTGACCTTCCCTCCACTTTCAATGCATTAAATTTTCTTCACTCATTCCCCATTTTCCATCCCACGTTACATGAAACTACCCACTCACTTTTTTCCTCCTTTTAAGAATTATTAATAAATTAAAATCTATCCACTTAAATCTAAAAAACCAACTAGAATACAAATACTACATTCCATTCCTATAGGTATTTTACTGGTCTCTCTCGTTTCTTTTCCTTCTTTTATCTAGTATCCCAAATTATGTCCATCTAACATTTGTTAATGCTCTATAACTTTTTAAATATTTGTTTCAATTAGTATAAGGAACAATTATTTTCCAAAATTGTTATTCAACTTTTACTTGGTGTTGATTGAATGTAGAAATTCTTGACACCATTTCAATAAGGAGATAAGTTTTTATTGATTGTGATACTTGAATGTTTAATAATTTTGAATAGAAGAAATTATTTTATATATTCTCATTTTATAATTTAGTTCACTAATTAATATTATTCTTAAAATTAAAGTTTGAATACATATTTTGTTTACATTATGATATCAAAAAGTATTTTTAGAATTAATGTTTGAATACTAAAATTCTTTATTTTCTTTTACACAGGTACATGAATGATGAAGATGTAAAAAAGTCACTTAATGAGTGAAAATGTAAGATAATGGAGCACTGGTATACAAGGAAACTACATAGTTTTATATTTTTGAATTTGTTATTGTTTTCGTATCTCAATTAGATTTATCTATTTTTGTTTGAGTAATTTCACTTAATTTACTTAATGAGTTTGTATGCAAGTGTTATCTACAAATTATTATAATATACGGTGTTTTTATTTATGTTTTTTTGGTTTTCTTTTTTTTTTGATGATGTTATTTTTATTTACATAGATTGCGTACTTTAACAATTGAAATTGACATGTATTAACAACAAATAGTTTAAGTACATATTTATTTACATAGCATTAAACGTTATAAGAATTATATTAGGTCACAAAAATATCTTCTTTGGATAAAAAATAAGTAACCCTATTGCTACTATTTTATTTAACACGAAGTGATTATATTTAGTGACAAAAATAATTACAATAATAATTACATTTTTAACTACAAATTAATTCATCAATAATACCGCCTATTATCTGCCAAAAATATTTTTTCAACCACGAAATTGTTATCTTTTAGTGACGGAATCTTATTCTTTTTACTACAAATTATGCATAACGTTAAAGACGATCAAGATCGTCACTAATTAAATTAATAATTAGTGACAAATAAATTTTGTCATTATTAGACACACCTTTAGTGACAATATGATATTTTTAGCTACAAAATATTTACATTTTTATGACAAATAAGTTCGTTGCAAATACTATGCATTTGGGGACAAATATTCTTTTTGTAGTTAATATAAGACTTTCAGTGACGACACGCTAAATTGTCTTTATATACTATTAGAGACAAGCGTTTAGAGACGAAAGATTGACGAAATATTTTTTTGTCATAAATTTATTTTTGTGACGAAATATGATTTTTAAGTGATAAAATAATTCGTCCTTAATAATCAAATTTCTTGTAGTGGTGGTACGTCGTTATACAATTAGAACAAATTTCACATTTTTTTCTCGTTTGCCAGCATAAAAAAGCCTCTTTTGAACAATATCTTCATGAGCAAAAGAATTTCAATGCACTAAAAATAAGTGAATATAGTCTCATGAGAGGTGAATATTGTATCCTTAAGTGTCTTTATATTGTCCCCAATACTTTGGCTCTGCTCTTTAGAATGTTGGGAAGGAGTTTATTGATTGAACTTTCACTAATATTGAATATGTTTTATAATTGAAGTGTTGAAAAATTATGAGCAGATTCATTATTGTAAGCTATCTAACTTTCTTAATTGTATTTTGCAGGATTAATGGAAAAATCAAATGTAGATGAGCAAAATATAGGAGTTGAAGTTCTATTAGAAGAAAGTGACATGGATGGAACTGGACAAACTGCTTCTGATATAGGTGTGGAAAATTCAAAAGATCCTTACATTAGTAAGGAGTTTCAGTATCTTGATGATTCATTTAAGTTTTTTCTTGATTATGCTCATTGTAATGGTTTTAGTGTGCGCCGTGGCCGTATGACTAAATCAAGAAAAGATAAATCAAGAATTGGTCTTCGAAGGAAGGATTTCGTTCAAAGAAAAAATTAGAAAGTAATAAACCACAAGATGAAACTAGAG